AGACGTAGAAAAGGAAGGTGGAAAGAGAGAGAGGTTTGAAAGAGAGAGAGAGAGAGAGAGGGAAAGTGAGAAGTATAAAGAGAGAGTGAGGTGAAAAGGGAAAGGAGGGGGAGAGACAGATGGAAAGAGAGAGGTGGAACTTAAATCATTATTATGCGCCGAACGGACGCACCACAAAAAGCATACATGCACACACGAATCACATACTTTTTAGTCTAAAATACATACATACATACATACATATATATATATATATATATATATATATATATATATATATATATATATATATATATAAAGTGAATATTGAAGTCAACACTTAGAGGCGACTGACGATTGCGTCTTGCATGAAACAGACTGTCGCTTCTATGTATTGACTTCAATATTCACTTTTTATATTTATACACGCTCTATCTCCGATATTGAGCACTTTATCCCATAAATATAGCACACCTTAGGACTATATTTCTTCATATATATATATATATATATATATATATATATATATATATATATATATATATATATATATTCCAAGGCTTGAATAAGCAGGTTTGAATGCAGTCTTTCCAAGAGTAGACTTCTAGGGTAAAAGTACTCTATGCCATAAAAATGACAGAGTATTTGAATATTAATTCAATACCCAGGTAGACAATAACTGGCCACTACTTTAAGTTTTATGATTTTGCATATAATCTCCAGGTAGCCAGTAATATATAAAGACTTCCCTATAAGGTAGGATGTGGCACAAGGCCAAATTTAATGTGAGGCAATCTGAGCCCGTAGGCTCGGCCAAAAATTTCCCGTAGACCCGGCATAAACGTCGTCGTCGACTTCCAGGTAGAGACTCTGCCCTTCGGCATAACCTCGTTCGGGTTCCTCTGTGCCTTCGGGCAGAGATTTCAACAACAGCTAAGAGCTGAGCACACAGCCAGATCCCACTGCCTAACAACCTGATCTTCATGTAGGCAGTAATTTGCAGAAGTAAGGGGATTATCTTATATACCACCGGACGAGCACAATTTGGCGAGCAAACCAAACTCGCACAGTTGGAAGGGTAGAGCATTTAGCCCAGATCAAAAAGGACAAAAAGTTCAAACTGGAACGGCTTAGCAAAGGGCACTCAATAACAACAGAAACTGGCATCACGGTACAGAAGCTGAAGCATTAAGCCAAATTTTCTCAACAGAACTGAAAAACCAAATTCACGCTAGAGCATATATGATGCCAAGGTTTGAGACAGCAGCTCTGAATAGATTCTGCGCAAAAGTAGCCTTAGGCCATAAAAGTGCTCTATACCACTTTTATGTCAGAACTATCCACACACACATACATGCACACACAACTTCCTTGTCCATTTTATTTATGGTATCATTATTATAATTATTAAGACTTTATTATTTTTATTATATTATCAATGCGATAACCTGACAACCCTACAAGTTCAAATAAAATTACTTATTTCTAGTTTATTTTGTCATCACCATAATATTAGTTTTATTACTATTAATCTTTTTACATAATGTTACGTTATCCTTCATATTCCATCAAAGTAGAAAACGCTGAAACTACCCCCCCCACACACACAAAACATCCATCAAAATTTAACCGCTTGTGATTGCAACTCAGTACTATAAGACTGAAGCATATAATTCTTTGAATCACTTGACACTTGAACCTGGGATGAATTACTAAACTCTTTGTTGTCATTAGCCGCGTTCACTGAACTATGACACTCCTAACGTTTGACAACAAAATCATAAGATCATCAGTTTTTGGCGTAAAAATTACAATGCCTGAGTATGTGATCTTAATCGTCCAATCAGACTGCATATCAAACAGAAAGTAATCGGAACCATATTTTTTCTGCATAAAACGAAAAGAATTCTTCAACTTCAGTCAGATGAGAAACGGATCATAACATAGTCTTGAGGCCAAACGTCTCTCCATCTCAATTTAACTTTCAAAAATCATAGAACCGGTAAAGTTACTCTAATTAAATAATATTAAAGACTCCATATTAATAAAGACTCCATTTATGTGCGTGTGTGCCCGTATGTGATTTGCTAATACGGTAAGTTCTTACACTTTCAATGTCTCTTGCTATCTCAGTCTCTCACATTCACTTATTTGAAACTTCTCACTCTTTTCATAAAGATTTATTATAGATGTGTCAATTTCTCAGCGCTGTTAATTCCTTTTTGCTAGCACGCTGTTTCTACTTTTTACTGAATTGCCTTTGCAGTTTTTAATATTTAATTGGGTGTTCTGTTTTAATTCCCACGTTGCATAAATTGCAGTTTAATATTTGATATGCTTAATATTTGTCATTTAAACAACTAACGTTGAGTTTCATTTAAAGTAGTTTTCACTGGACAAAAACTGGTAAATCAATTATCGATATGAGAACTGACTTCAGTCAATTTTGTTCAATGATTAAATAAATTTATTTTTTGTTTCAAAAGAATGCTGTGTGTTAATATGTTTATTTTTTTAAAATTATGTTTTCCTTTCTTACAAACATTTAAAACAATTCTAAAACAAATCTTTATCATTGGGTTTGAAAATTTTATGCAATCAATCAAGAAGGTTTGTTTTGGTTTGTTTTACGGGATATCAACCTCAATGGGTTATTTAATGCCGATAAAATTTTATATGCTGGTAATATGTTTTTCTTCAAAAATCTATTTCTGGGAATATTTTCCTTGAAGAAATCTATAGCTGGTAATATTTTTTTCAAATAATGTATAGCTGTTTATATTGCCAGTATTTGTACTGCAGATAATCATTTTTTCTTCAAAAATTATTGCTGGTAATATTTTTCTTTTTATTACAAAGTATTTCTGGTATTAAATCCTATTTTTACACAGGTTTGGGTGTCAACTATTTACCCATAGCTGGGGCCCCAACAGTTGCTACCATCCCGGGTCAGGGAGGACTTGGGAACGCCAGCAATTAAGAGGTGGTTCCACGCTCCTCAAAGCCTCTTGATCAGGGGCCTTGCTGTTGGACGTAGTTTATCGTCTTTCCCAGGACGCGGATGTATTTTGTCTTCATACCCAGGATGGTCAATCAAGATGGCATTCAGAATTAAATATTAATGTATAGTCTTTTCATCTGATTTTCACATGTTTGTTGATCCGCAAACTGCTTGTTACGAACGAATATTCCCCTCATATTTTATAAGCTTCAAAATGAGTCTTGTCACATTTTTCCCATGATTACGTTGAGGATAATTTATCAATAATTCTTCATGTGCTATGTCCATTCAAGACATTGGCGATAATGGCCGATAACTTCATCCCAGCGAGAAAACAATATTTACTAATCGTAAACAAAAAAGAGCTTGCCACAGTGTAAAGAAAACATTTGTTTCAAATGGATCGACTGAAAGAAAACGAAAATTTTGATAAATTTCATAAACTTGCCAGGTTTGAATTGGGCCATTCAATTTTGGAGGACCTAGAACCTTACGAAAATACTGAACTGCAGGTTAACTGAATTATAAATAATAGATATAAGAAAAGGATATGGGGAATATGGTTTGAGTGGCATACGGGGTCTTGCTCTCATCTAATTTTCAATGGTGACCACCAAACACATGATTTTAGCATGCAGATACCTGAAAATTTCTAGATCATACGGTAACTTTAATTGGCTATTTTTTGTCTGTAACTGTAATAAATGAATTGGAACCTACAATAGAACCTACAATAGAAAGTGAACTCTAACATAATTTGATCGTTAGATCGGAAAGTATCAAAATAACTATACACTTAATGTAAACTTTTAAGCTTGCTCATACGATGGGGTAATTGGGGCCCTGGGCCGAAATCTAAAGAGACCTCTGGTCCAGCTTAGAAATCAGCAATGATAATTATGAAGAAAAAACTTTGAATTTCTCAATTCACACCATGGAAGTTCAAAACCTCACTTTAATTCTGATTCTGGCGAAATACCAATTCAGGCCGAAAATTGAGTTCTTCCAATCATCAATTCCGTGGAAAGGTCAATTGAGTTGAGTTCTTCAAATGACAAACTCTGCAGAACTTCAAAACCTCATGTCACGAAACCTTTTAACTTTAACATGAAATTGATTTCCTCAATTCAGAAAGTTTTTGAGATATTTTAAACTGAATTTAAAACAAACATGTTTAAATTCACAGAGATGTTGTGTTACTTTAAACACCAATATAAATTAAAAAGTTTTAAAATCACTAATTTTAGAAATTGAATTTTTAACCGTTCCCTACTCATCTGGAAATAAACCCCAATGCTGGATGTTCAAGCACGAGATGAAGTACAGCTTTTTAAAATCCTGGATCATCCTTATTCGAAAAAGGTATACTATGTCTATTTAGAGCATTTGTGTCCGGAGTTAGAAGGTTATCAGACATACGGACGGACAAACAGAATTCGCCGTTTATTTCTTTAGATTAAGTTATTAGACTGCTCCACTGGGGAGAGTCATTTTGATCCAACATAACTGGCGTTGCAAATATAGTAAGTTGAGACAGATTTTCACTTCAAGAATCAGATAAGACAAACATAGAATACTCAGCTTGCATATAGTGATAATGATGATTAATATAATTTGTGTATTTTCCAAAATCATATCACAAAGTAAGGGAGGCGAAAATGTTGAATACGAAAAATGAATTTATGTCTAATTACAGCCATTAGATTAAGCTTCTGAGAAAGATATAATCCTGGGAAAATTTAACGCGCCTTTTACTTTTTTTCCCTTACGTTCCACACTTAATAATGTCACCCCCATGAACTAAGGCCTACCATTGGTATGATACAATACCATATAACACATATGTCAATCCAATAGCTGTAGGTAGAAACTACTTCACAGTTGATATTCATTTCCGCCACCGCCACCACCCTGTATATTCCAGTTGTTCTTTGGGCTTTGTATTCTCTGCTCCTCATCACTTCATGATTGTAAATCTGCGTATGAAACATTCAGTAGCTAATTAATTTTAGATGCTTACATGAAGTCTGATATCTATCTATCTATCTATCTATCTATCTATCTATCTATCTATCTATCTATCTATCTATGTTTCAATCTACTCATTATCTATCTATGTTTCAATCTACTCATTATCTATCTATCTATATCCGTCTGTTTACATCTATCTATCTATCTATCTATCTATCTATCTATCTATCTATCTATCTATCTATCTCAGTCTGTTAATATATATCTATCTATCTTAGTCTATTTCTATCTATCTATCTATCTATCTATTCATATATATATATATATATATATATATATATATATATATATATATATATATATATATATATAATGATTATGTGTGTAATGATAATTGTGAATAATGATTATAATCTTTGCAAAAAACTTGTTACCAGGTAAACTCTAAAGTTCAAACAAGTTTCAATTAGTATTGACTGACTGTTTTTTTATGGCTTATCAACATTTTGCAGGTTACTAAAAGGCAGGAAATATATTTAGATTATATGAATTCTGTTTTAGATAATACAGATTTACTCATACGAGTTATACTAAGTAACTTATTGATGGCTTTTGAAGAAAAAATATACAATGTTTCATTGTCAATAATTGTGATTCATAGTTTATTATAGTCTGTTAACAGTTTGTAAGATAAGCTGCCAATCGGAATACAATATTGATAAAAAAAAGTAAAAATACGTGTAATTTTCTTACATAATCTCATCAAATCGAGGCTTTAACATGGACATCATTCACGTTGCTAATCTTGTTCAGTAATATCTAAACTATCAACTGTATACAACCGCTTTCTCAGATCAGTTATCAAATATGGCTTCAGACCAATTAATCTTGTAGGTCCTAACGAGGACTATATTATTTGAACCTCTTGAACTGGCGCTACATAATCACAATAAATTGTGCGGTATAGTAAAGACCCCATTATTCGCGGACTTTCAACCACAAAAACGGATATCACATGAAAGTCAAAGAGAAAATAATAGACTATTTACATTATTCGCGGGTAAAAAAGGAGGACAAAATTACTCAGAAAACAGTCTGCCTGCCTTATGTGAAGTGGTTATCAGAGAAAATACAAAGGATCTGCGGTCCATATAACATCACGACAACCTTCAAAAGCTGGATGACCCTTCACAGATTTCTCTCCCGGATACCCCCGCCATTGAGGAGAACATGACTAAGGACTGTGTGTACGCTATCCCGTACAGCTGCGGAAAGAAATATAAAAGGGAGACAGGACCCCCACTTAAGGTATGACTTCAAGGACACAAGAAAGCTGTAAGACGAGGGGAAGTGGAAAAATCAGGCGTGGCTGACCAAATATGAGAGAAAAAGGAGATAACCGCCTTTTGTGGGATCAGGCTGAGATCATAGACAAAGAACACCATTGGAAAATTCGTAAACTTAAGGAATCATCGCATGTACTAGTCCACAAAATCCCCTGAGCCGAACAAGCGTAGATTACAATACGGGAACCAGTAAGAAGGAGTGCCAGAGAAAAGCGATAATTAGAAAAATTGCAATATGAACTCTGGTAAAAAAAAAGTACTGTACATATTACCTCATCTCAGAAATATAGAAAGATTCAGAAAATAATAGCATAATATCTTGAAGTTGATCACTATTTCTAACAAAAAGCTAGGAATCAAGCCCGAATTAATACCTGAAACAGCAATAATAGTTAATGGTCTTGAAAAACTGTTTCCCTGAAAAACTGTTTCCCTGAAAAACTGTTTCCCTGAAAAACTGTTTTGATAATATGCCAAATATTTCTTTATAAAGTAACGTCCTATATCACCATTATACAATTTCTAGTTGAACAATCTTTTTGAATAGTCCAGCCAACATTTATGAAGGAAAATAGTTTCTTTAACTTACTGTTACTTTTGTACTTGTTTGTTTTTCTTCTTGGCTTGGCCAAAATAATGCATTTAATTTTATGATGTTAGCCTCACAAAACCAGTAACTGTCTATCAGAAACATTAACGGCTTCCAAGGCGTATATTTGGCAGAAAATCGGAAGACACCTGAGCGGAAGCTGAAATTAGAATCAAAAATATTTGGTTGAAATTTTTCGGCCGGACAAAAATATATTACTCCCCTTAAACACTTGCTCGTTGGAAATAGAAAAAAATGAAAGAAATACACGAAGAAGCTAGATGAATAGAAAAAGTATATAGATTGTATATCAAAGTAGCCATTATTGAGTTAAGGAAAACCTTATAGAACTGCCTAATGTCTCCAAAGCAAAAAGGGATGAAGTATAAAGGATGATTTCCATTATGTAGCGTCAGACTGGTATCCTCATCTTTGTTATTATTATCGCAATGTTTCGGTAGATAAACTCTAAGCTCTTTTCTGTCGATCCAAGTAACCCTTAGGGAATTTCAAATTTGACCATTTATATAATCAACAGAATTATATTGATCTCTATCTGCTGTCCATGTCCAGGAGATATACGTCATGTTCTTAATTAATGCTACTAAGCTATCGCATGCCCTGTTTCCACTCAGCCTACTACTTAGCTCAGGGATTGAACCAACAATTACTACGCCTACATATTCATGAAACCAGCGCTTTTTTCCCTGTCTGCGGTTGTCGCGTCGGATTATCCTGAATCTAATCCTGGGATCCTTAGACTTAATCCTATTATTGCCTGGTTGTTGTTTCTGCTGATGTATTCTCAATTCTTCTCTGTCGATCCGAGTGACCCTAAGGGAATTTCGAATTGAAACATTTGTATAACTGAAGGAAGCTGACTCTACTTGTTCGGCAGTCCATATCTAGGATTATCTCGTCATTTGTCGTCCTTCATTTATTATAAACATAAAGAGCTTCAACAGAAATTCGGACCTAAATAACCAATTTCATTTTCCTTATTGTATAGGTAATGGAACATCTAAAATCGTAAGATATATCAGCCAAGCTTCTCTTTCGTTAATGGGAGCGAAATCCAAAACGAATGGGAGAAAATTCTTTGCTGTACATGCTGCAAAGCTAATTTGAAGTTAGTTTATTTCAAATAAGGAGGAATTTTATGATGATTACTTTTGAAACTTCCGAAATAGTTTTCTGCTTTAATTTCTGGAATGAAAAGTTACAATCGGAATAATGTATATATCTTATTACTCGTATAACGTTTCGACTGTTGTATCTTCAGACTTCTTCATCTCTCTGTGAAATTCCTATTTGTTCTTCTTTTTCTTGTGAAAACGGTGATATTTAGAAGACAAAAAAATGTGTTTATTTTTTTTTAAGCACAGGACGACATCAGTCAATCGTGCCGTACGTAATACACGCTTGGTCGATCATGTCTCTATCGATTTATGACTGACTACGCAAAAAAGACTTTTCCGGAGTAGGTTACATTTTTTTTCTGCAGTAGACTTGGTGCCAAACCAAGTCTATAGTATGTAGTCTGTCCTGATATTGAACCCATTACTGGGGGTGGAGATGGATTCATAACTTTCCTAGGAGTATTTCTTAATGACATTTTCTTTGCGTTCATATTTAGTTATATGTTTGTAGATTTACACATATATGAGTATATTCCTAATTGCATTCATATATTTTTATGTATATATTTTTTGTTATATCTTCTGCAGGATGAATGCGTGTTGATATGTATACAGGATGTGATGATTAAATTGTCGGCACTTTATATTCTCAATTTCGAGCATGCGCGCTTTTTTATGTTTTTGATGTTGTTGACTGCACAGTATAGGAGACTCAGTTGGGCACCTTTTGTTTGAAAAAACGTACAATGACGCAATTCACTCCGCTAGAAATTTGGAAACGATATGTTGTACTTGCATAGCATTCGCCGCGGAAGATCAAATACAAATTTTTCAGAGTGATTGTCTGTCAATCCGAGGACAATGCAGAGGATTTGGAAAGATTTGGATGATATATCCAGTTAACATCAGGGTGTTTGGAGTGATCACTAGTGATGACAAAGATATGCCTCCATTCATCTTCAGACAAGACCTCAGACTCAACAGGAAGGCCTATGCCAGGTTCCTTGGGGAGTTAGTGCTGCCTTGAGTCAAGAGGGTATGTAGAGGACCGTGTGTGTTTGCGTGTTGTTGTATTAGAATATTAAAAGAATATTAAAAGGTTCAACTGTTAGGGATGTGCAGAATTAGTTAATTGTAATTGAGTGAATCAGAAGGAATTTGTGTAAGTTGCGTGACTTTCTGCATTCACAAACAAATAAATAAACGAATTTTTAATACAACCAAAAAACAAGACATATTCAATTTAGAAGCCAATAAAACATTTATATACAATTAAAAATAATATATATACAGGATATTTTGGTATATGTTACTATGGGAAAGTGTGTGTGATATTTGAGGTTTCGCTATGCCTTTTTTTGTATATGTATGTTCAGTTACAGTCTTTCTGAAATTGTGTTAATTAATATTAAAAATGTGGATGTTAAGTGTTTTTAGGAATGAGTTCTTATAGAGTGGTCTACCTTTGACTGTAATATTTCTGAATCGTTCGAATGTTGATTTTTATTTAATAATGTAGTGAGTATAGTTCACTTTGGATAAGCAAAGTTGTTTTAGGTTTGCGATTTGATGTCCACAGAGTTGGTCGAGTTTAAATTGCAAGTGAGTTAGCGTTGATGTACTTTTGCGCGGTAAAGTCGTGATTTCGAGTGACGTGGAGTATGTTGGCAATTTCTCTGTGGATGTTCGTCTCTGACTCTTTTTGGTCAGTCGGCGTTTTCTTTTATATGTTTTGAAAGTCCAAAATCGGCTCAAAGAAGTTTTGGCGCAATTTCGTTTTGCACGTGAAACTTTCAGATTATTATGTCGTTAACCAATGAGATTTGTTGATTCGCCTAGTACGGTTTTTTATTATTCGAAGTTTTCCGTACGTAGACGTAAGGTATAGACTTTTCTGTTACTAGGGGTGATAGTTAGAAAAGGACGAGTCTACACAGCTAAAAGAAAGTGTCCGGACTTGAATTAAGTCCAATTGAAGATAAAGAAGACAAACAAGACCGAAAGAGGATTTACCTCACCTCCACGCGAAGTGGGATGCGGCACGAGGCCTGAAGGAAAGAGAACGAGGCAAGAAGTCGCCCAGTATTTATAGTGTAGGGAGAATGCCTTTATTGAATAGTCAGGGAATTCATGAGCAGGTAACTTCGACAGGTGTCTGCTGGTAACAGGACTCTGCACCATGCTACACAAGCAGGAGAACCCAGTCATGGTTGTCAGACAATTTTACGATCACATTACCCCTTACATCTGACACCTGACTACCCAAACTGCAACCTTCTTGATTATCATGTGTGTAGTGTAGTTGAGCGAGAGGCCAAGAAAACTCCTTGTAATACCAAAGATGAACTGAAGGCAAGGATTATGGCAGCATTCACCAACTTAAACAAGGAGACCGTCCAGAAGTAAAAGTCATCTGGAGGTCGTGGTTGAAGCCAAGGGCAATTTTATTGAATGTATGTCTTTCTTAGTATTTTAAGATATTTTGTGTAAATTTGGTAAATATATCTGTTAAAATGAGATATAAGTATTATTTTTCATTTTTGCGTAAATTAGATGACAATTTATCCATCGCAGACTTTATATTTACATTTACGTGTATGATGCTTATATATATATATATATATATATATATATATATATATATATATATATATATATATTTGTTTGAATAAAAACAGACCACTTTAAGGTTCCATGTTCCATAACATGGAACCTTAAAGTGGTCTGTTTTTATTCAAACATATCTGCTCTGAATTAACATTGAGCTCTCCGGATATCATTCTCCTTGGGTCTACCCATGCGGATTATCTAGCTTTGCATAAACTATATATATATATATATATATATATATATATATATATATATATATATATATATATATATATATGCCATTATTTTACATATATAGAAAGTTGTGTGTTCACATATATGTGCGTGTGTTGCTGTCAAGGCAAACCTAATTAAGAAAAAAGATGTTCTATTTAAAGTGATTTTTAATGTTTTTTTTTCGAATTTAGTACAAACCGCAAATCACAAACCAGACTTGCAAATTACAGCTGAAAACTATTGCCTAAGTTAATTAAGAAGTGAAATATAAACCATTTCGTTGTGCACAAGACAGCTTTCCAATGTCTATATCTCTATTCCAATCGCTAGATATTTTATCAGGTTGAGTATAAACCTTTGTAAACATAATTTGCAATTTGGATGGTTGTATATAATCTCATTGATTCTTGACATCGGCCATCGTATTTATCTGTAATTGAAGAATAGTTAATGATTGCATTGCAAGTTTGTTTCAAACTCTGTCACGAGTCACTGACATCCTTCCTCCAATTAATCAAACACTGATATCATCTTTATTCTTTTATCTCAATGTGGCTGTTGTTTCTCTTGCATCTGAAACAGAAAATAAAATACTAGAAAATTTGAAGAATTCCTTTAAAAACAATGTCACACCAAAAAAGGTGATAAAATTACAGAGAAGCAATTTTGATTGATTCGTTTTCTCTGGCTTATAAACTATTTACTGGTGACAAAGCATGAAAAAGGCTGAAACATATTTTTAGATTATAAGAATATTTCTAAAAAAATTAATAATGGTCTAGCGATAGTAGGCTTACTAATTAATCTGTAGGAAGAAGAGATGAAATCATAGCTTTCTCGACGATCCTAAGATTGGGACTCGGCCGTCCACTTATTAATTCTGAGCCATTATCCATTATACTATCAGCACATCCAAGCAGCTGGTATTCTAAATCCGTCACCCATCTAGCTACTGACTAGGCTTGCCGTTGCTTAACTTCAGTGATCATACGAGAGACAGTATTTGAACGTGATGTTGCAGGTAGATTTAGGCAGGATACCAGTCACTTAAAAAAAACACACTGGCATTTGGAGACTAAATAACCCACTGGATTAACGGTGGATTACAAAGACTGCTCGGAGATGATGTGTAGATTTCTCCAGCAAATGTTTCTAAAAAAACAATATATTCAAGCCAAAAGATCTCTTAAGATTTGATCTCAGACAGATGTTAGTCGATAATACCAAATACTATACCACACACAAATTGTAGATAAAAGCCAAACTACACGAAACTACGATTATACAAAATAAAAAAGTCCGATGAATAAATATATATATTTACCAGAGGAGACATTATTTTAAAAAGTTTATGGGATATCTATAATGTTTTTTGAAATATTTGTATTCTCCAGTGTTTACATCATCTTGGTCGTCCTATTTATTACAAAAATAATTATAATCTCTATCTATAAAAGGCAGGTGTGTATGTGTGTGTGTGTGTGTGTGTGTGTGTGTGTGTGTAACGAATGCACGGCCGCAATTTTCCACGGATTTGCATCAAAATTTACATGCACATGCTCCAAGCTAGTGGAAAAGCCAAGACCGACTTTGCCTTTCTCAACTCCCATCGATAGTGGAAATAATCTATTTTTTCATACTTCTACGGCAGTTTTCATGTAGCTTGCGGCCATTTTCTACTGACCAGAGTGAGAGCCAATAGCTGGCTGCCACGAATAGGCAGGAAGATTCTATTTGCCATCGTGAGAGCCAACAGCTGACTGACACGAATGTTAACTAGCATGCTAGCATGCTAGCATGCAAAAAAAAATCGATAGATGCATTCGTCACAAGTGGGAAAAATTTAAATCTGCATGGCACTTTACTCCAGTTGGTTCATTCGCTTGCTTAAACTCAATGTTGATTCTGATTCCGCAGAAATGAGTTGGATGTGAAAAAGTATTTGTTGTTAACATTCTTTTTCATTCGGTTTTCCAGTTACGAGTCCTTTTTAAAGCTGATTGTTTTGTGTTCATTTTGTTTAGTTATTTTTTCGTAACAGATTTAATGTTTAGTATAGAGCTTGGAAAAAATTTGCAGTATGAGATAGGCAAGAAGTAAGGCATGTAGCAACATCAGTACGGCAAAAGGCATTCTTTTAAGGCAAGGGAGGGCAAAAATATTTTAAGTCAAGTGATAGCGATTGCTGTATGAGTCGTACGATTTTTGAATCAAGCACGGGAAACGCCGGGCCATGCTGCTTGTATTATAATAATAATTGTAATAAATATGGCGACAAAGGTGAGAAGAATAGTCCGAATAATGTAAATATGTACATAATACCTCATCTCAGAAATATAGACCGATACTGAAAGGCTGAAACGTTGTAAAAAATTTGACGACAAAGATGAGGACAATAGTCCGAATAATGTAAATATTGTACATAATACCTCATCTTAGAAATATAGACAGCTTTGTATTCTCGTTATGAGCTATGATAGCATTTAGTTGCTGATAATGAACAAGACATTACCGAACGAAGCAAGTAACTATCGACCGGATGTGCAACAAATTATTCGAAAATTGGAAAATGCAGTATCAAATAAATAGACACAATTTGTTTTGTGAAATTTATCACAGCCCATCCATCCATCTATCTATCTATCTGATAGTACTTACTCCTCATCTATATATCTGTCACTGCCTACTCATTATCTATCTATCTATCTATCTATCTCTCTGTCACGACGCAATATCTATGTATCTATCTCTCTATCACAGCGTAATATCTATCTATCTATCTATCTATCTATCTATCTATCTATCTATCTATCTAAGATTGAATTCGTCGCTTGATGTCTGTCATTTTAATGTTTTATCTGGTATGTTGATTATTACTACCACGCCATGTTGATTTCTTTGTCTACAAATGGTCTATCTCTGATATTGTATACTTTGGCCATAAATATAATATATTTTAAGCAATTAACATGAATACACACACACACACACACATATTAGCACCCATACACTTGCGCACGAGCTCATGGATATGTCTCTGTTTTTCTTAATATTACCCATGTTTTATTTCGATGATGTTTATGCTTGGAAAGAAATTCTGATTTGTTTTTTAAGCATACAAATTAATATGCAGCGGCTAGAGATTGAATTTGCTTTCACTGCTTACAATAAAAGTATGTCTACTTAAACACGTGTATTCACGAAATATGTGGGCATATTTTTCGGATGTGCTCAAATTTTCTCATGTTCATGTTTATTAATTTTGAGAACCCGTAGACAATCTTTTTGTTTTTAATTCATCGAAGGATGTACAAGTGATTGTTTTGTTTTGTTTTTTGGCGGGGGGGCTTTTGTTTTTTTTTTCTTCAAGCTAGTTTACCCCGTGCAGTATTTCTAGCATGGTGCTATAACTTCTAATGCAGGATAGAGTCACTTCCCGTCTTGCACAATTTGTTGCATAGATTGCAAGCGAAAACATGTTTCAGAGTCACAGAGATAGATTTTGCTGCCTTTGGGGCCACATGTGTGACTAAAACAAGCCAGCCTTTGACAGACAGACGCATGCACATTCCGCATAGGGTCAATTTTTTTGGTACCATTTCCCGGTTATATGCTTACATTTCCCATGTATGATCATAATACATACGCATATATATATATATATATATATATATATATATATATATGTATGTATGTATGTATATATATATATATATATATATATATATATATATATATATAGTGTATTATTATATTATATATATAATATTATTGTATATTATATACTATTTTATAATATTATTAAATATATATTATTATATTATTGTATATATATATATATATATATATATATATATATATATATATATATATATATATTGATTCTGTCTGTATTAGTCATCCGACAACATTCATATTTCTCTCACTTAAACCTTCTTTGACTCACCTCTCTAAAACTTCTCTCTGTTAAGTTTTAATCTCCCACCTTTCTCGTCTGTTACCCCTCTCTTTAGCTCTAACATTTGTCCCACACTCTCATACTTACACTCTCTCTAAATTCTATTTTTTATTTGCGGAGTTGCTTTTTTCTGTTTTCTTGTTGAATTTGTAGGTCTGATGAATTGGACCGTATTTACGATTCCAATGGAAAAATTATGGCCATGGAATATTAGTGTTTAAGCCTTTACATTATATATATATATATATATATATATATATATATATATATATATATATATATATTATTTATATTTTCTCCTTTATAACCGTTTCTCTCAATGCTTTTGTATAATGCTGAACATCAAGAGAAACCTAGTCGTTACAGCCGTTTGTTAGATATTGTTCACAAACCATGAGTTTATTACTCATATTCTTTATTTTCTTATTCTTTCGACAAGTGTGGAGCCACCTCTTAATTGCTGTTGTTCCAGGTCCATCTTCACGCGAGGTGGTAGCATCTGTTAATCTCCTAGCTATGGAAAAATAATGAACTCAAAATCTAGAGTAAACAAACTGAAAGCATAAAAATAAGTTTTCATATTAAAAAAATGGCAAGAGTTATTTTTTTTCATTCCCAGAAATAGATGATTGTAAAAGAAAAAAAAATAACAGCAATAGATTTTAGTAAAAGCAAAACAATACTCAACCTCCCAAGAAAATTAAATTTCTATATTAAGTGACTCATATTAAGTTGATATGTCGTTAAACAAACAATTTTCAAGAACTTGGAACAATTTGCACATGTTTCATTTCAGCCACAATACAATTGATGGGCTTATTTCATTTTTCATTTTATATAAATATTAATTCTAACTTAAATAGTATCCTTTTCCTGTTTCGTATTTACTAAGGTAAAATTGTAAATCCTCAGCAACGTTTCATACTCAGAGATTTTCTTTTTACTCACTGCTCGTTCACGATACGTCTGTGTATAAAATAAATAAGACCTCTGCATGCACATCAAATAAGTAAAATTATTTGAGAAATAATTCAACTATGAAATCAACACATCTAAATACCGAAGTTGTAGTAGACGTCTATTTATCTTTTGAAATAATGGTCCATTTTACTCAAAATTCAGTCTTTTGGTGTTTAAACTGGAACGCCATGACGCTAGCTTAGGCGATGGTATGTGTTTTTTTTTTAAATTCAATTTCCCGTTTGTAGATGGCTTTTATTGGGTTTAGGACTAAATACAAAGTTTTGAAAAAGGTCAATTGGCAGAGGGAAAATAATAATAGAATTCTTCTCAGCTGAGATTTTGTTTGTCTGCAAATATCTAAATCACAATGTCTCATGAGATTCACACATGACATGAGTTGTTTCTTTAAGACAACATGACGTTCACTCTTCGCCCTCAGTAGGAATAATAACCTTAGCCCGAAATTCACGTGTGGCTTTAACTTCAGAAGCCAGAGTTTACACGGCATTGCGTTCGTATCATTAATAACCATATCCAACAAAACTTGATTGGTTTGGTTGATTTTTTAGCGGCATATGAAACCCTATGGATTATTGAATGCCGAAATCTAAATATTTTGCATGGAATTTTATGGCTTGAGCTACATATGTTTTGAACGCAATTTTATGCTTTGAACTACTGTGTGTTCATAAATTTCGTGTGCACTTAAAAAATTATAACTTTATTTGTATTTGCGATAGAAATAATCTGTAAAAAATGTTATAAAGTTTAATCTACCTAGTTTTAAGTATAGCTAAAATAACTAATGTGATTTCAGGCATTACTGTAAATCAGTTGGTAAATGTTTTCCGTGAACTGCAAAATCTTATTACCCTTTGTATTGCTAATGATGGAGGACATGTAGAAACTTAAATAAAATTTCAATAAAACCTTAGATGATATAGATTTACTTCTTTCTAATCCTTTTTATAAATTATTTCTATCGCAAATACAAATAAAGTTATAATCTTTTTAAAGTGCACACGAATTTTATGCATACCCTGTATATATTTTTATATAATGTTATACTTTCAGTACAAATGTATGTTCTTTTAGATATAAAATTTGTAGCCGATGAAAGTGTATTGCTGGTGATTTTACTATGCGAATGTATTTTTATACTTTTAATTTTGCATTGTTGGTCATTTTATTTTAAAAAGTATTGTCGGTTATTTTACTATGAAAATGTATTGTTGGTAATTTCATTACAAACATTTATTGTTCGTATATTATTTTTAAGAATGTATTGCTGGTATTTTATACGTTCCTAGTGTTTTTATTTTCCTTTCGGTGTTCTCTATTTGTCCTTAGCTTGGGCCCTAACAGCCCGGATCAGGGTGGACCTGAGAACAGTTACAAGTAAACAAAATATCCAATCTCCCTATCAGAGGCCTTGCTGCCGGATGTAGTTTATCGTCATACCCAGGACGGATATTTTTAAATGCCATGCCCCTTCAAATCGTAAGTGGACATGGATACAAATGTTGATTGGTTGATTTTGTTCGGTGGCATATTAACACCTCTATGGGTTATTTAATTATGAAATCTAAATATTTTGTAGCCAATTTTATGGCTTCAGCTACAGATATTTTCTACATAATTTTATACTTTCCGGGCAAATGCTAGGTCAGCTGCTAAGAAAGTTGGTTCACTACAATTTTTCTCTCCAGAATCTATCATACATATCTATAAATTCTACCACTCGTTCATACTTAGGATATTCCTACCATATAGGGTCCAGTGCCCCTGCCCGTCCTGGGTATGACGATAAACTAACTGGGGAGGACGATGAACTATGTCCAACGGCGGGGCCTCTGGTCGTGGGGTTTTGAGAAGCTTGGAACCGCTTCTTGGTTGTTGGTATTCTTGAATCCACATTGACCCGGGATGGTGGCACCTGTTGGGATCCCGGCTGTGGGTTGGTGGTGGCTGGTATTTTTATACTTTCCTAGTGATTTTATTTTTCTTTGGTTGTTCTCTTTGTTCTTTGCTTGGACCCTAACAGGTGCTACACTCCCGGGTCAGGGTGGACCTGAAAACAGTCACAATTAAGCGGTGATTCCACGCTGCTCAAAACCTTCAATCTCCCGATCAGTGGCCTTGCTGCCGGATGTAGTTTATCGTCATACCCAGTACTAACAGAACTTGTTAGTCGTGTTCATTTTTTGTGTGAGTAAACATTATTCACCTTTCGGAATGGTATATTTATAGGAGCATAAATTACAAAAAATATTTGTTTCTTTTTAATTTCATTTTCTATCTTCCCAAATAAACAATTCAATAAACGCCAGTAAGGAACAAAAGGGTTACTGAGAGTATGAAAAGAAAATGAGAGAACATGATTCAAGGTGATATATGGTAATGTTTTAATATATATATATGCTCTCATCATATATTATGAATGCGTGTGTGTATATATCTCTGCGCAGGTGTGTTTAGAGGGAGTAAAAAGCAACTTCCGTTGAGAGGATACTGCGTAGGATGATATTTATCTAATACTGCACGTCAGTAACACAATGTCACGTGGTCGGGGGACAAGGAAATGTTCGAACGGTTAATTCACAGCAGAGAATTGAATATTTCTTTTAGAAGAAGAACGACCGCCAAAAATGAGAGATGAAAATAAAATTAATTATATTCATCCGTATTGTGAATAAAGAAAAAACAACTCTTCACTTAGATTCGGTTTTAGGACATGTCACGTTGAAACACCGTTTCCCGTACAATCACCGAAGTTAAGCAACGTGGAGCTTCGTCAGTACCTCGATGGGTTAGCGCTTGCGAATTCCGGATCCTGTAAGCTTGGATGTATAGTTGGTGTAATGGATAATGGCACGGAATTGTTAATCGGAGAGTCGAGTTCAAATCTCAGTTGCTTTCGTTATATTCACTTATGGGCAAAGAATCTTGGAATGGTATAAATCCACCTCTTCTTCCTATAGCTATGGCTTAACTAGTAAGACTTGAATCATTAATCATTATTATCTCGATAAAGGTCTAACAATCTAAAAATATTTTCTGGCTTTAAATAACCAGTAATGGGGTGATAAGCCGTTTAAAAATAATCAATCAATCAATTCACTTAGTTTCAGAAGTCTTCATCCATATCTAAATTTCGTTAATCGCGATTCTTTGATATAATAATCAGGAGATTATCCATCAGTTAAATATTTTAATCAGCAAAGCGTGTTAAATCACTTAATCAGCAACGTTTGTTAAATCTCTTAATCAGCAAAGTATGTTAAATCACTTAATCTTCAAAGTTTCTTAAAGCAATTAATCAACAAAGTTTTTAAATCACTTAATTAACAAAGTTTGTTAAAGCACTTAATCAGCAAAGTTTGCCATTCTTCCAGTTTGAAATATATGACAGCCCATAGTTGAATGAATTCTTTGATTTTGCAAAGAGGAATTTCTCTAGAGAACTTTTGATATTCACTTTGGGTCAGCATCTTCTCAGATATATATATATATATATATATATATATATATATATATATATATATATATATATATATGTGTGTGTGTGTGTGTATTTATGTATATTTCCAACTTTCTTTCTCAACGTTTTCTTACGAAAAAAATTAGAGAATTGATTGGATTCCTGTATTTGTATATCTCAAAACTCAAGCAAAGAAATAATAAAACTAATTATATTTGAAAAAAACATACGCTTCAGACATGTTTTCTGGCTTCAAGTATTATCTTTATTATGACCTAAGTAAGTAGGTGGCCAGCTCTGTGGCAAAAGTAGATTCATTTTTCCCGCCATTGTCAGAGCTCGGCGTTCAAAAAGTGCTGAACGCTAGACTTTGAAATGCTGATAATCTAAGCAGTTAGATTGTGACTACTTAGATATTGTTATAACACATTTTATTCCAAAGGTCTTGCCGGCATATAAACTTGCGCCTGGCCCATGTAGACGTTAAAATTGGTATGACAGAAGGTATTTTTCCTCTCACTGGCATAAAGCTTCGTTTTTACTTTCAACAAATTTCTTAATAGAATAATATGTAGATACATAATTAATGCCGATTACTATAATAGAATTTCTTTCACCATCTTACATGCATGTAAACTTCTGTTTCATTTACACAACTTGCATTATTCGGACTATTGTCATAAATTTTTTCGCCATATTTATTAAAACGTTTTGGCCGTTGTGAGCTCCGGCCTTCTTCAGTTGGTGGGGATGTCGAACCGAACCCTTTAATTCGCTCACTGGGTAGACTGTTCTAGTTCCACGTGCCATGTTTTAATGGATGTTAGTTGTCAGTTATCTCCTCTTAATTCCCCTCTCCAAGTTCTCCACCGCCTTAACCAGTTATTGAACTCACACTCTTTTGGGTCCTGTCACTGAATCTAACTAACGCTTTTATCCACTGTGCGATATGTCCCCAAGGACAGTTGATAAAGGCGTTAGTTGGTAATCCGAATGGATAATTTCAAGGAGGATATAGATCGAGAGAGAAGTCAATGTAAGAATAGAGCAAATGATAATTATGAAAGCGGTACTTTAGAAATCCATGGTTATATTTTATTTCGCAAAACAGATACTTTGGTTTCGTCTCATCAGACCAAACATTTTCAAAAATAAATGGATTTAAAATTTTCGCAGGCACAAAATGAAATATTTAAGCATGTATTTATGCTTTAAAATATAGATTCAAAATGGGGGAAAGGAAAAAGAAAGGGGAAAGGAGGGAGAAAAAGATAGATATGTTCATTAACTAAAGGTATCTTAATTCCAGTTGTAAAGAAGGTTGCTCTGTTTAATAAAAAAATAAACATTGAGCACTCTTCTGTGAATCAGTTTTAACATATTTCAATTCTATGTTGTGTTAATAGGACGCGCCTGGGTTATACCATCGAAATATATATCTATCTATCTATCTATCTATCTATCTATCTATATATATATATATATATATATATATATATATATATATATATTGTTGTTGTTGTTGTTTTAATATACGTCTATAAATAAATGGACTAACATTACAGTAGGGTATAAATCTCAATATTTAAATTATACAATTGTCAAATTTAAATCCCACCTGATGATGATGTGTATGTACTGCTCATCAAAATCTTAAGATCACTAGGAGAAAAAAAGTCACAACTTGTTAATAACAGTGAACAACTGTAGTGAATGATTGAATAAAGTGAAATTTATCTGTCGTATTCATTTATTTTTTTTATCGTTAACATTGGTCCTCCTTGCGTGTGCGTTTGTGTGTGTGTATATACAGAAAGATAGATAGATAGATAGATAGATAGATAGATAGATAGATGTTAAAATATAGTTTTAAGCTATGTTATATTTATGAGTAAAAGTGGTCATTGTCAGAGATATGTAAATGAAAATTTGAACAGTGAGGTCAAAAACAAGCAGCGCCAGTCTGTTTCGTCCTTGAACGCAATCTTCCTGCCGTCATTTAGTGTATACTCAGTGTCCAGTTTCACATTTGTGCGTGTCTATATATATATATATATATATATATATATATATACCGAGGAAGCGACAGCCCAGGCACCAGCACATATGATTTCATTATAGTGGTGAAGGCTTTGAGCAGAACCAACCAGAGTTTTGAAGGGCCGAATAAAAATACCTGGCCCTCAAACGACTCTCCACAGGTTTTGAATTCAGAGCTGTCCTTCTCAAGACCAGTTGCCATCCACGTCTATAGAACCCAGTCTGTCCTGCTATTTAACCCACAGCTGAAGGGGAAGAGAAGGATAAAAACTTTTCCCAAGGGTATTAGCACGTAAGTGAATGTAATGAATCTGACTGGAATTCGAACTCTGTCCGAGTAGCTCATATATATATATATATATATATATATATATATATGGTTTTTACAAATTCGTCTCATAATCCTATACTATTGTTTTAAGGTGAATACACACTCATTTTCTGTTACACTCGTCTTAATAATATCGATTAATGTCTGAAATATTTAAGTAATTACATTTTTTATCAATGGTCCGTTTGTTTTTTTTTTAACAGACTAAAACTGAAGAACTTAAATGCTGATTTCCAAAGCAGACACTCACGTTTTAAGCGCAATGAACCACGGTTTTCTTGCCTTCTCTCTTTTGCCTTTTGTCTTACAAATCTTAACTCAGAATAATTCCGTTCTGGTGTGTGCGTGTGGAGAAGAGTCTGGTGTGGTAGAGACGAGAGTGTAGGTTGAGAATAGAGCATCACGTAGACTTAAGCTTGTCAATATAGGGAAAATAAAAAAGAAAAGCAATTAAAAAAAAAACATGTCTGAAAATGCGAACCAATATACAGAGATAAAAACTTTGCAATAAATGGAAGAATGAGACAGCAGAACTTTTCCTGATGGAGTTAATGCAGTTTTATCGATCAGATATGTTTTTTGTTAATTTCACATAATTTTTTTTTGAGGGAATGAGAGTCTTGTGTCTACTCACTAATGCCTCTGTATATCTTTGTTAGTCACCAACCTTTCACCTCTTTCTGTTCCTATATAGTCAAGTAAAAAAAAGTAAAAAGAAAAACAACAAATTATTTTTCTAAGAAAAAAAAATCACAGAAAATCCAAATGTAAGTAACAAAGTTTTAATTTGAATATTTCTCTGTAAAAATTCATTTATTAGAAATAAATATTAATTGATTAAATACAAGGTACCTTTTTTTTACAGTTCTCGTTTAGACTATACTGCAAGTTTTTTTTTTCTATACAATATTTCTCACAATCACTGTAACTATATATATATACATATATATATATATTTAAATTACAATAAACGTGCAATCAATTTACAAATACATGAATTATTCATACAAAACTAATGCAAAGGTTAATGATTTAAATGGCAAGACATCCATCTTGCAAACGATTCAAATAGTTTCACAAAAACCTCTAAATCCGTTATGCATGAGTTGATCCTTGTTTATATAAATTTCTGCCGTATTAGTTGTTATTTTTACTACAAGCTTTCGTCTGTTCCTACAGACATCGTCAGGTATATAATAGATGTTGTTCTTGGTTTTTTCTCTTAGTAATAAGAGGACATCGAAAATATATGTGTATTGTATCCGAAATGCTATTAAAAAATGAGTTATTGGTTTTGAACGCGCCAAAGCAACGCTGAGTTTGATTTTGAATTTTTTTAAAATGTCTGCGTCTATACCAAATATGGTAATGAACAAATGTTTTACTGGTAAATTTTTTACTGTCAAAGTGGCATGAACTATATTGTTCAATAATTACAGTAATGTCACACTTATTAACCAAAAGTCGCACATGGATCAGATATTTAAATTACAATAAACATAAAATTTATAATTTATTTTTTTATATAAATAATTATATATATATATATATATATATATATATATATATATATATATATATATAATTATTGTAAGTAAAATTTGGTCTCAGAACTGACTGATGTTAACTTCAGCATCCCGACTCCAGAGGTTTGTAGATAGACTTGTCTTTCCACACTCCAGGGGTATCATGTGTGTGTGTGTGTGTGTGTGTGTGTGTGTGTGTGTGTGTGTCCACTAAAGATAAATATACTTTTTCTTTCTCGCCGTTTCATGGATTTGCCAGCTGTCGGGAATAGATTGAAAACAGACATTTGATCACGGGTTCCATAGTCCAAATTGAAGGTTCTAACCACTCAGCCATACGCCCATAATATGATGATCGATTTAACAGTCAGGTCACTTCTCGATGGTCTCGGTCTGGGGAGGGGATTCTGTGTAGAGGAGTCTGGTTAAGGGTATTTCAGCAGTGGCGCTCTTGCAATGT